GGTGGGAATGGAGCCGCCTGGCTTAACTCCACTCTGCTGTGCTGTACGTTCAGAGGACAGTTATTTGCAGATGCCCCGGCTCCCTCCACAACCCATGTCACAGTATCCATGCCTGGACACTGGCTCAACCGGGAGCATTTCCTAACACCGCCACTCCCCACTCTCTGAAGCCCCGGTGGGCAGGACCTGTGAATACCTGCTGAGAAGCTGCAACTCAACATGGCCACTTCCTTGAGATACTGAATTCCTCACTCATTATAGTGTTTAATCAGGAGACTGGCATTCCTTTTAAAAAGGGATTTCATGCTTCATTTTTCCTGCTGTCTCCAGAGGCCAGGAGTAAGTGCAAACATCCTCTCCTCTGGAGCTCCACCCAGCTCAGACATTCCTCTCCCCTCAGCCCACCCTCCCTTGCCCACCCCGGGGCAGAGAACTGACATCCAACAGCTGCACTAATCTCTCCCAGTTGCTGTGAGCAGTGGTGACGGCCTGTGACAGGACCCCGGCCGGGCAGCCTCCTCTCCCCACGTGCCCGCCCAGGCTGCACACCCTGCCTGGACTGTTCAACCCAAGCAGTGGGGAGTGACGCCCAGGGCAGAGTCTAAGGGGTTTCACGAGGGGCTGGTGTGGGGTGGGCACAGCCCCAGCATCAGTTTAAATCTGTTTACACCCAGCCAAGCCTCGGACCCCTGGACTCTCAAATACAGGACGCTGACGAATGTTTTGTTATGTCTTTCCCCTATCTGTAGAATGATGTTCATCAAGTGTGACACCTAGGCCACGTGAATGAGTCTTAGGGTCTCTCTGCAGATGGTGGGCGTGCACTGAAGAGAGCTGAGCATCCTTGGAACAGTCGAGAAGGGAGATGCTGGTGGGGTGGCCCTCACCGCCCTCCCGGCCACAGCAATGCTGACCCTCCCCCTCTTAGAGCCCTGGGTGCCTGCCAGGGTCCCCTTGGCTTCCCTCATACTAACTCCCCACTCACATTTGAGGGCATCGCCTTGAACTGTTTTCTTTTATTTGGCAGCTGGCCAGTGTGGAGATCCAAACCCTTGACCTTGGTGTTTCAACACTGTGCCTTGAACTTTAAAATCACCTCAGAGACGACGAAGATCAGTAACGTGACCAGACCGAGGGCCCAATCCAGAGGAGTAGCAGTAAAGTGCCATGGCCTCCAATGTGAGCCCTCCACAGGGACAGCAGGCGGCACCTTCTGGGCCCTGCTCTTTGCCTCATGACCAGCGGCCCAGACACGTGTTTGTCGACCAGCCCGAACCCCTGCCTTAACCATCTCTGTTTTCTCAGGCCTGGTCAGGTGACTCAGTCATTTGCTGGACACATTTTAACTGAAATAATGTTAAAATTACTTATTACCCGATCTCCTTTAATCAAGAAGGCAGCTAAGATTATACAATAACTTTGGCTGAGTTTTGCCTCAGCAGCGGCCACAGTAACCGTTCCTGCCCACCCAGCCCATGCCAGGCAACAAGCCGTGCACAGACCAGCCCACGGCCTCACCACGCTCCTGCCACAGGGGCTCTCTTAAAACTGCTCTGTGGGCTGCTGAGCGCAGCCTGAGATGTGACTGGGTCACACGCACACCCCAGAGTCCAAAGATTGGCTAAATGAAAGCAAGAACGTGAAACCTATCACTGACGGCGTTTACATTGATTACATATTGGCATTCTATGTTGACTACACTGGTAGAATCCACAAAGCACTATTCATTTTGCCTGTTTCTTTTTACTTTTAAAGATGTGGCCACTAGAAAATTTCAAATGACCCATGCAGCTCACATTCCACCGCTAGTGGCCAGCGCGGCCGTCCTATTCTAATAGCCACGCAGGACATTCCAGGCCCAGCGGCACCCCATCCTCACACGAGGGAGCCCTCTTTGCATCCGTCTGCTCTCTGAACACTACGTCCCTCACCTCCAGTTCCAAGTGCCAACTGTAAATAAGCCCTATGCCGCTCGGGTCCCTGCCTTCTCTCCCCGGTCTGGAGGGGAACGATTTACTGTTGTTGGTCATGTCTGGGCAAACCAACACCTGACTCTGAGAGCTAGAATCTCTGAGTGGCTCCATGCCTTCCTTTTGTTCTATGCCAACACTTCGTTAACTTGAAACACAGTGGACTAGACAAAAACAGACTCCACATTTACACGGGTTTGGATTTCCAACTTTTTATTAAGGAACAACGGGCACCTTGCCAGCTTCGGTGGGTGGGGGCAGGGGCAGAGAGCGAGAGGCCAACAGCTGCTCTGAGTTATAAACTTTCTGTCTCAACTGGGAGCATCTCACTGTGGTTCTGCTGCCTGTGGGGTTTGCAAGTGGGGCTGGTGTCTATTTTAGTTCTGGGTTAACAAGCGGTCTCCCTCCACAGCTACCGTGGCAGTTCACGGCCTGGCCAGGCCACCCCTGATGGCAGCCTGTTATGGGGAAGGCAGAGAGATGTGACCGGCAATGAGCTGTGTTCTGTAATCAAGTCCTTTTGGTTTCCAGATGCTGGTCCCACCCCACCTAGTCAGAGTCACTACACAGAGCCACCAGGCAGGGGACGGTCCGCTCACTCACCCCACGCAAAGGATGCCAGGCCACCTCTTCTCACCGGCCACCTCACCACCGGCTGCCATGGGGCCCCTGGGATGAGAGGCTGCTGGAGGGGCTAGCCCCTGCAAGATGACAGGCCTTCCTCAGCCAAGCCCTCACCAGAGGGCGTGATGGTGGAATAGTGAGGAAGACCCTTGCCTTGTCAGCTGGACAGGCAGGACCGGAGGCTCAATTCACAGCCCGTCTGTGCCGCTGGCCTTGGACTCATGGCGGGGGGATTACACTCTGAGTGGTGCCCATCCCGCTCGTGAGCTGAGCGACCAGTGCAGTTCCAAACTCTGTCCCCTCTGAGGAGGACGCACACCCTCGTCCAGGCCAGCGTTTCAGAAGGGGACGCCTCATTTCTGTCAGTGCTGCACACAGGCTGTGCAGCCCCGGACTGCCCAGAAAGCTCTCATGAGAGCCAAGTTATTTTTCTTATAGGACAGAGTTATCTGGAAGGGAGCAAATAGATGGGTCCTGAGATGGTATCTGACCACAAAATAAAGTATGAAGTGAGATAAAACATAGGGAGGAGCTCAGAGACAAGCAGTGTGTTCACTGTCATGGCTGTTTGGCAGGGACACCAAGCGGGTGTGGGGTCCCCATGCCACTTCTGCCTCTGCCGATGGCTCCTGGGAGGCTCGTCTGGGTACCCTGCCCCTGTTCACTCAGGACCTCAGTCTAGAGAACTACTTCAACATTCCCCACCCACCACAGGCCACTGTTCTGGGGATGCTGTGGACATTAATGAAGCCATGATGACAAGTTCCCAAATCTCTCAGAGCCAGACGGTCCACAGAAGGAAGAGCCAAGCACCACTTCTCGGTAGACGGAAGAAAACATTGTTAGGAAACAGGTTTCAGAATCACAGACTTTCGGGCCTGAAAGGGAACACAGGGACTATCCGGTCCAGCCCTCCTTCAGCTCGCAGAGGAGGAAACGGAGGCTGAGATGCAGCTGACCAAGGTCACGCTGAACAGAGGCGGGCCTGACAACCAGCCTGTGTCCGCTCCAACACTGTCAGGAAGCTGCCCGCGACCGAACAGTTCCACACGGACATTTTACAGCACTTCAACTGCTGGACACTTTCAACTCTTCGTAACTTCTTTCTTCCCCCAATGATGGAAAAACGTCAAGTGGATGTGATGAAGGAGAGTGATACCTGACCGGCTTCAAGTTACCATACAATTAGGGGTTTCCCCTCACACACGTCCTTAGCTTGCTCAGACCGTTTCACAACTAAGTCACCACTAAACACGTGTCCTCAGGAAGGAAATCTGGTCCATATATCAGGGATTCTGACAAACAGATGCCCTAATCCCTGCACTCCCAAACTTATAAAACCCAAAGCTGCACCCGTGTACGGGCCCCTCCCTCTGCTCTTGGACGAATCTTTGGCTGTGTGACTTCCAGAACAGGCTATTTTCAAGTCTTTCACCTCCGGCAGAGGCTCCCATGCAACTCTCTGTTCTTTTCAGTGCTTAAAATCTAAGGTAGTAACATTTTCAAAGTGGCAAATATGTAGGAAAAATTTCCAAACCCATTTGTTCATCAAGAACATAAATGAGAAAATGTAGGAAGAAAGAAATTTCCCCTGAATTCTGCTGGCAAGTGCTGTCACCATCCACGTTTTCTGCCTGATCAGAAACACCAGAGCAGGAGAAGACCTAAAATTGAAGCTGGACCGGCAGAACAATTATCCATCACTGCCTCATTGAAGCATAACAGGCTTCACTTTTGATCAAGTGTCTTGCACTCAGTGGAACTTTCTCTGACCCCTAAATGCTTTCTCAGGTGTCTATGCTACCAGCCTAGCTCAGTCCAAACACTTCAGAGCACCAAATACATACCAGTGCTGCGCTGGGGCAAGCAACACGTGGGCCGTCCCTGTCTGCACCATGTATTCATGCACAGCTAACAATCATTTGGGTTGCTACACATTTTGTGAAGAAAATGTGTCAGGTGCCCAAAGCACCCCATGATAGGAGACTCCCCAATGCACTGGGGGGCTCATTGGTGACTGCTGAAGGGGCCTCACCAGAAGTGAAGGAGGCAGGGTGAACCTGAACTGTGTGAATATACCCCTGGGCTGCAGCCACCCTCTCTGTGACCAGTCTGAGCCCAACTTCTTCCCCATACCGGAGTCTTTCTTTCTTTCTTTTTTTTGAGCTTGGCTGCTATAGTGATCGAACCTGGATCTTGGTTTTATCAGCACGATGCTCTAACCAACGAAGCTACCCAGCCAGCTCCTCCAACACCCTTCTTAACTGCCTTGCTAATGTCTTCATACACAAGCACAATCACTGGAACCCAGTGTGGAGTACAAGAAATAACGGTACATACTGCCAGAAGAAACAGGAATGAAAAAGCGCTTCCCAGACCCCGGGTCTGGTTCGCCCTTTCTCCTACCTGAGTGGGTTATCTGAATGGGTCTCCATGTGGGTCTCCAGTCCATACTTGCAGACAAACTCCTTGAAGCATACTGGGCAGTGGGAGACTTCGTCAGCCTTCTTCTCCATGTCACCCGACTGCCCATCTTCTACCGTCTTAGGGGAAAGGAAAAAAGCGAAGTCACAAAGGAGGTCCCCTACACAGTGGGTCTCCTTCAGAAGAGACGCCAAACACTATATCCAGAGACGTTTACTAAGAGAAAGGGGATACGTTCCCCACCTGTGAGCATTAAGGATGCGACTGACCAGTCATTCATTCACATGACAAATACACAGAACATTCCTGTCCACCCACCCACCCCTCAATCCACTCACGAGTACTCATGGAGCACCTAGCACCGGCCAGGCACTGGAAGTAACAGAGGGGGGACACAAAGTCCCCAGCACTTATGAAGCTCCCATTTTAGCCAGAGAAACAATTTAGAAAGCTGGTAACAGTTCTAAAAGCTCTTTGTTCCACGTCTGGGCTCAGCTGGGGGGCTCCAGAGAGGGAGTGCACAGGTGCTCTCTTCCTATACGCTTAGCAAGAGCAGTGTGCAAATCAGAGGTGAAAAGCTCAGGGTGGACATTCGCCAAGTCCCCACACTGAACAAATAAAGACTAGAGGTATTTCTGCCAAAGTCCTGTGATGAGGTCTGTGTTGGGAGCCAGGAGGACCTTTTTAGCTGGCGCTGGGTCTTCTCTCTCTGACTCGGCATCGTGACTCAGTTTCCTCTTGGAGGACAGCCTCCTGCGCTTCAGAGGGGACGGAGGGGCTGCAGCTGCACCATTAGGGTCCTTCTCATGAATCTTCATATGTCTGAAAAGAACACACACACACATACACACACAATGTGATTTAACAAAAACTCAGTTCATTTATGTCTTCTAAACTTTTTATTTTTAGGCACTGATACTTAAATTTTCTTTAGTTAAGAGATATGAGGTACAGGCCGGCCCGTGGCTCACTCGGTAGAGTGTGGTGCTCATAACACCAAGGCCATGGGTTCGGGTCCCATACAGGGATGGCCGGTTTGCTCACTGGGTGAGCGTGGTGCTGACAACACCAAGCCAAGGGTTGAGATCCCCTTACCGGTCATCTTTAAAAAAAAAGAGATTTGAGGTACAATTTACATGGTGACTTCTGTCTTTTTAAAACCTTATAATCTCCTTGAACCTCTCCTAAAGCTCCTGCACGTCCTGTTTATTTGCAAGTGCTGTCTAAGAGTTGTTCATGCCTTGCTGTTTGTGGAAGACATTCATGAACTCAACCGGCATTAACGAGATAAAAACTATCTGGTGACCTGTTCTACTTATTCAGATGAAAAGTACCATATTAGGACAAATAATTCTATAGAATAAAGAATGCCAGATACCTAACTGCTCCACTAGTTCAAAAACTAAGTAATGACTCTGTATTTGCCCCAGAATCCACCCCCACTGACCCGCTGTATGTCTCTCTCTCTCTGCCTTAGACAACAGTCTGGGGGTCAAATTTGAGGCGTGCTGACAGAGCAGATGTCCAGAATGCTTAAGACCTGAAAGCCTTTCCATGTTGTTCATGGTATGATGTGGATTTATAGATCATGAGAGTGGCTTGAACAGTGGGAAGAGTGTGTTATGCGCTGCAACTCTGACAGCTACAGGACAAGTACACACATGTAGGAAGGAAGTATTACATCTAATACGCATATGTCTGTTCCAAAAAGAGTCTCATGGGTGACATGATTTAAGTGACTAACTTTATCGAATTCTAACACAAATGTCCTAAGAACAAGGTCCCAAGATATACATGAAAAGAATGACATTGCAAACAGTCTCAATTTCCTTATTTTGCAAAATAAAAATGGTTTCGTTTTGCTAATGACAATCACCATCACCTTTGACTGGGGTTAAACCATGCCAGATGTAGGAATGTAGCCACAGCTTTTTGTGAATAACTATTTTATAGGATTATCTGACTTGGGGAATTCTTAGGAGTGGGGAAAGGACAGCACCATTTTCATAAACTGTCCTATGAAAAGAGGCTCAGCTCCCTTTCTTGCTGAGCCTTTAGAGGAGACAGGTGGAGGATGAAGTGGCCGAGAAGCCCATGAGTCACAAGCAGCTACATTTTGAGGCTGCTCAGGCCTCTGACTTGGGATAGCTGTGAGGGTGCCTTTCCCACCATGACCTTGCCTCTGGTGATGAGAGTCCTCTGCTCCGTGAGCGTGTGACGCATGATGCTGGAGATGGCCATGAACACCTCTTACTCTGGCTCCACAGACACATTCTCAAACGGGAGGGAGTCCCACATAGCTCCCTGCCCGCCCATCCAATCCCCCTGCCACAACAGCACCAGCCCCCAACCATTCACCAGGAGAACTGCAGAAGAGGTGGCCTAACCACTGAGGACATGGGACCCAGGAACGAACCTCTGTTCTCGTAAGGGGAATCGGTGTGGTGAACAAAAAGATCTAGTGGGAGAAAACGGAAGAGCATCACAAACAACATTGTGCCTACACCTACCTACAGACCGAGCACCCCTAATCTGAAAATCCGAAATGCTCCAAATTTTGAAACTTTTTGAGTGCTGTGACACTCAAAGGAAATGTTCAACTGGTATGTATTCTGCAAATATTCCAAAATCCGAAAAAATCCAAAATCTGAAACGCTTTTGGTCCACACATTTTGGATAAGGGATACTCAAACTGTAATTTCATGCCCAGATTATTAGGGAAGGATACTTTATTATTTAGTGCTAGGATGCCTAAAGCCTTGAGAAAATTAATGGAAACAAATAGCCTTGTTCTAAGTATCTCCTCCATTCCAAAGTGATTGAGATTTGAGGAGACCATTACTTG